ATACCTGTAAGAATCAATTAAGCAAAAACATGAGTGACAAATACTACAAAAAGAAAAAGCTGCATGCATAAACACTTTTTAACTTGAGAGAATGCAGGCTGTATCCAAGTCTGTCATGTTGAAAATCATGGTTTGCAAACCTCTTCTCTGATAGACTTTTCATGTTGCAGAATTGCTTACCTCCATAGGTAGATTCCGATGATTTGGCTATCTGGACCAAAAGTCTGAATATTTTTTAGTGTTTTTGAGACTTATTTCCAAATTTCTTTTCGAATATTGTTCTTTTTTATTTTTATTTATTTATTTATTTATTTATTTATTTATTTTGACAGGCAGAGTTAGAGAGAGAGAGACAGAATGAAAGGTCTTCCTTCTGTTGGTTCATCCCCCAGATGGTTGTTACGGCTGGTGCACTGCGCCGATCCGAAGCCAGGAGCAAGGTGCTTCCTCCTGGTCTCCCATGTGGGTGCAGAGCCCAAGCATTTGGGCCATCATCCACTGCCTTCCCGGGCCACAGCAGAGAGCTGGACTGGAAGAGGAGCAACCGGGACAGAATCCGGTGCCCTAACCGGGTCTAGAACCCGGGGTGCCAGTGTTGCAGGCAGAGGATTAGCCAAGTGAGCCGTGGCGCTGGCTGAAGGTATTGTTCTAATAAAGATACCACTACAAACATGTTCTCTATGTTTGTCAGTATTGAAATATACATATATATACACATACACACACACGCACACTTTGATTATATTTATTCATTCATCTGAGATGTACTAAAACAAACATACACAACATTTTGGTTGAGTACAGAATGGTTGGATGGTTGAGTGTTAAAATAAATTTCAAAATAAATTTCTCTTTGATGATAGACTATCAAAGAATAAATATATTTAATATCCTTATATTGTGATTTTAAAAATTTGACAATAAGCAGAGGAACAATAATTTCTTAGCCCTGTCAATTGCTGGATTGCATCTCTGGTCACTGTATTATAGTTCAACTGGCATTTTATTTAATTTTAAAAGATACATTGATCTGAAATGGAATGCAGAGCAGAGAGAGTCAGTGAGCATGAGAGCAAGAGTGCGATCCTCCATCCACTGGTTCACTCCCCAAGTGGCCGCAACGACTGGGACTGGGTCTAACTGAAGTCAGGAGCCAGAAACTTCATCCTGGTCTTTCACATGGATGGCAGGGGCTCAGTACATGGGCCATGTTCTTCTGCTTTTGCAGGCACATTAGCAGGGAGTTGTATAGGAAGCAGAGCACCAGGATCTCAAAATGGCACTGTGACATGGGAGGTTACTGTTGCAAGCTGGCAAGTGGGTGGTTTAACCTACTGCACCACAACACAGGCCCTTACTGGAACGTTCAGTGACATTACTAACTTTTGTGTTCATAGTGATACATAACTAAGAAGCTTTTCAGTTACATATTTTCTAGAATAACTTTGTACCTGGGATTCATAGCTTGGAAAATCTCAAAAGAGTTTTTCTTAAGTACTGAAACTGGCTCATAGCCTGTAGAAATCATTTTGACAAGCTTTTGTTTCCATTGTTAGTCTCCATAGATTCATTAAAAAAAGGAATTATCCTTTTAAAACATGTCCATAATGTCTGTTTTGAATTTTGGTTAGTATGAACAAACTCTGTCCTGGGTACCTCATAATTTTCTAAGTCTTTCTTTATTCATAGTTTTCACTTTTTATTGTATCTGGAGGAAGGACAATGTATTGGGAATATTGTTGTACATGATTTTTGAAATTTTCCCTTCTCGTTTAATTTAAAGGTAGCAAGTTGACATTTTGCTTTCAATTTATTTTTGTAATACATGAGCGGTTCTCAAATAGGGCTTTTTTCGGAAAGATATATAGCTTACATTGAATTAAATAACTAGAAATTAAATATAACTCTTAAGGTTTACTTTTTACTGTTATGAATGCTAATATACCAGTCTACATTAACTAGAATTAAGGTTATAATTTGTTAGTCTTTTTAATAAAATATTTGTTTTCTCAAAATGATTCCTTGTAATGTTACATAACAGTCTTTTAATATTTGCATTAATTGTCCATGTATTTCTTATTTTACTATTTTAAAATGCACATTTTATCCACATGAAATTAAGTTTTAATCATTGTTAATACAGCATTTTGCTCTGGCAATGTTAAACATAAACTTATTTAAACTGAATTTTAGGATGCTAACATTGAAGGCACAAAGAAATTATTGCTTCATGTTTCTTCTAATATACTTAGCTATGTGCCAGATTTGTGCTATTGTATGCTGATCAGTGTGATGGTCATCCATCTAATCATTGTGTCATTGCTCATGAACCACTTGAAGGATGTCAGAAGAGATGTGGAAGTGGACATTGACCGGTCTAGTCTTCCGAGGGCTGAGATGGACCCTGAAGGGAAATAGTAGATCTAGGCTGAAAACAAGCTAATTTTTGGTGCATGAATGTAACTGTTCATTCTCATCTTATTAAGCATACAAGAAATCTTTATAGTTATTGCTATTTTTATTTCTTAGTAGGAGTGGGCATTTCTTCTTGTCCAGTTTAAGAATCCATCTATTAATAAAAAAACTTGTTAAAAGTTGTAAACACATACAAAACTAGATTGAATGGTGTAACGACTCTCTAGGTTACATCATCTAGCTTCAACCATGATTAACTTTTGAATTATGCAAATTAATGGCAAAACTAGTATTCAAATAGTACTTTATACTTTGTGTGTCTGTGTGGGTGCAAACTGTTGAAATCTTTACTTAGTATAGAGTTGATCTTCTGTATATAAAGATAATTAAAAATGAATCTTGGTGAAGAATGGGATGGGAGAGGGATGGTTTGTGGGTGGGAGGGTGGTTATGGGGGAAAAACTGCTATAATCCAAAAGTTGTACTTTTGAAATTTATATTTATTAAATAAAAGTTTAAAAAAGAAATTAACAATTTTAGACACAGTATCTTATTAAATTTCCCAGAATCTCTAAAAATTTTGTCTTTTCCTATATTCATATTTATTTTTATTTGAAATGTGGTAGGTAGGAGGAGATGTCTTCCACCTATTCCTAAATGCTTGTAACAGCCAGGGCTGAGGCAGGCTGAAGCCAAGAGCCCAGAACTCGATCCACGTCTCCTGCATGGGTGGCAGGACCCAAGTCTCTGAGTCAGCACCTGCTTCTGGTCAGGATGTGCATTACCAGGAAGCTGAATGAGAAGTGGAGGAACTGGGGCTTGAAGCAGGCGTTGCAACATCAGATGTGGGCATCCCAAGTGGTGGTTCAGGCTGTTGCACCCAGCTCTTGCTCCTCAAAATATTTTTATTAAAATGTATTCAAATCAGCATGTAAAGAAAATCATGTATTTCAACTGTTTTTTAATGTTTAGGTTTCCTCCTCCATTCTCCTGTGTGATTTATTTTTTAAAGAATTTGTATTATTTGTTCTTTATACTTTCTTACAGTGTAAATGAGGATGATTTCATACTGGTATTGTCATTTACCATGTTTTTCTGACTCATATATCCAGTACATAGATAGTTATTTCTAGAGATTTGATCAGATTCAGATTCCATTTATTTTGCAAGATTGTACATTGATGGAATTTTTGCATTCCAATCATTTTCTATTATAAATAGTGCTGCAATGAATATCTGTGCACATATGCTTTCATGCTTTTGTCAATATAGTTTTCAGATGGATTTTTATAAATGAGATTGCTCGGTCACAGGATAAATCCATGTAAAATCTTGCTGCACATCTCCAAATTCCTTTCTATGAAGGTTATCATTTTAGAAATACTAGAAAGAGAGCCTGCTTCCTCGTAGCTTCTCAGAGTGCTTTGTTAAACGCTTGAGTTTTGCCAGGCTGATATCTGAGAAACTGAATCTTAGTGCAGCTTTGTTTAAAAAAAAAATAAGCTTAACGGTTCTGTGTTGAGGTGAAAATAACATACAGAAAAATGCACAAATTTAAAATGTACATTCACATAAAGCCAAAACTTAAATTGTCACTGGTTACTGATATTTATGTCTGAAGATGGATTCTCTGGTCCCAAGGGCTTTGGAATACATTAAGATGCATATTTAGGGTTTCATTACATTGGAACATCATAACAAACCAAAGTTAGAAATTTTCTAGTTTCTGATTCTTCTAGGGATGTTTGCCATTTTTCCAAGGAATTTTAGATCATCAGCACTCTGCATAAATTGTCATCTACCTTAGGTAATGATTCATCTGGTTTTTGCCTAGTGAAATGAATTGAAATCATGTAGAAACTCTGTATTTATAAAGATACAACTTGAAACCTTTTTGTTCTTTTTAAAGCTTTGTTTTTCTTCATTTTTGGCCTAAGGATTGAAATAGAATCAATATGTGAATTTACAAAAAAAAAAAATCAGGATGTACTACACAATATTGGAAGTGTCTGTAAAAGACAGTAGCTTTATTTTGACTTTTATAGTCTATTTAATTGGCCTTTCCCCGAGCCCAAAGGCAGCAACATTGATTTTTTTTAAGTTATAAAAATGTGACTACATCTTCCACCAACACATTTTAATTTTTTTGTATAACATGGACCAAATATGTCAAAGGAATCAAATTTTAAGAGTCATGTCTATTGCAACAAACTTTAGAGACTGTAGGTGGTAAAGAACTATAACAAGTTTTAGGCATTCGTAAAGCAGCCACCAGAATGTCACATTTTAGAAATACTATATATTTTATTTTTTCAGTAGGTAAGTTAGAGAATATTGAATATTTTTCTGCAGTGTCCTGTACTTTTAAAAATGTACTTTCTTCTAAATTTCATTATTGAAGTTCTTATAAGGCTTTCTGCGGAAAGGGTTTGACTTTGACTTTGAATTTAAGTAATCTTTGGGTTAATTTGTTTTCTTGTACCCCTAATTTTGAATCAGAAATCAGCAAATAGATAAACTCAAGGTTAAACTAATCAGTGAATGCCAGCTAGAAATAGCAAACATTATAAACATTCCTTTTTAGAACTTGTCTTCTGAAGTTTTTCTATCTTCACTATTGATTATGACTTATTTTTCTCTTAATTAGATTTTAGTTTATTAATATATAGAGAACAAATTTCATGAAAAAAAACTTAATGGATATGGAGCTAAACTGACATCTTGTGATTTGACTGTTGTCTGTTACCCTTGTCTGTGCCACCACAGAAACGTCTATCTTTTACTTGTAGAGGACTTTGTTTAGAGGAGCGTTGAGCCTGTGATTATAAAGTGAATTCAAAGTATGTTATTCCAAAAAAATTCAAAGATTAAAAAAAAGGGGAGAGGAAGGAAGTGGGAGGGATAAGAAAATGGGAGGAAAGTACTGATCATTTAAAGCCTTCAGGGTATTAGATACTCAAGTATCAGAGCACTTATGAGAGATACAAACTTCATCAAGCTTCTAGTTTGCACTTTTGTAGATATTTAAAAATTAACACGGAATACACAAGTGCAGAGGTCATATGATTGTAAGGCAGAGTTAACAGGAAATAGTTAGCACTTGAGGATTTCTTGATGGATCTTAAACATTGGACAATGGTTACGCAGATGATACAGCCGAGATGCAGGCTGTGAGGCAATGTGGAGATTGAGAGCCACAGAGGATCACTGTCATCTCCAAGTCAGAGGGACACAGGGGAAGAGGCGGGCTGAGGCACATCCCATGCCTGAGATTTTCCAGAGACGCTTGGCACTGTCCAGAAGAATGCTGTGGTATGGGAAAGATGCAGACGCCCTTGCAGCCCCTCTGAGAGTGGAGAAGGGGTGGGGGTGGGGCTGGGCTGCTCCTTTGGCTTCTTAACCAACCCCTCCCTGCCAATCTCCTATCTCTCTTCTCTCCCTCACCTGAGCCCAATGGAAGCCACAGACAGGGGCACCTGAGGAACACAGGCTGCTGTGTGACTAGGAAGACGACCAGGACTGAGTCTTAGGTAAACACCCCCAGGCGTGACAGAGCTTGTCAGCAGACACCCAAGAGCATTGAGTATGTTCTGAACTTTAAAAAGTCAGAAAAATTGGGAAAAATTAAGGTTAGCTTAAAATTTTGGTTTCAGTGGTTATATGATCTTTTTCTATTTCTTCGTTAAGTGCCTTCAAATATTTGTCTAAATTTAATTTTTTTTATTTATACATCCGTGAAGTTGAGAGACTAAAATTGTGTGCTCAGAGTCCTATTTCTAGCAAGTTCTGAATCTGGGACTAATGCCAGGCCTCCTAACAGTTCTTTTTTAAAGATTTACTTATTTATTTATTTGAAAGTCAGAATTACACAGACAGAAGGACAGATAGAGAGATCTTCCATCTTCTAGTTCACTTCCTGGATGGCCCCAATGGCAGGACTGGACTAGGCTGAAGCCAGGAGCTTCTTCCAGGTCTCCCACATAGGAGGCAGAAGCCCAAACACCTGAGTCACCTTTTGCTGCTTTTCCCAGGCCATTAGCAGGGAGCTGGACTTGAAGTGGAGCAGCCGGGATTTCAATCAGTGCCTCCATGGTATACTGGGGTCACAGGTGGCAGCTTAACTCACAATGCCAGCCTCATCCTAACAATTCTTCCAAGGAATTTTTTCCATCATACTCTGAAAAATCAGAGTGCAATCCAAACTCAAGTTCTATGTAACTCTGATGTTTACAAGCTTTATGGTCAGGACCAGGTGTTTAAACTTTCCACTTTCAGTGTTCTCGTGTGTAAAATGGGAACAGTGATTCCCATTGTGCCTGCCACGGAAGATGTATCCAAAATGTGTGACAGCTATGAAAAGCTCTTACAAGTGTCCTGGGGCTATATGAATTCCAACTATTATTTATTGTATGAATGGAAAACAGAATGACTTCCCCTTTCTTTTCACACCTAATTCTAAAGCAGTTCTTTTAACAGCTGAGCACTGCCAATGAGTTTTTCTCTTCCTTCCCTGCTTTTCAACATTGTATTTATGGATATTGTGTCGCAAGATGCACAATGAGGATTTTAAAAATGAAGTGTTTAACGTAGAAGATGCAGATTAAGCATTTCTGTTGTGAATATACTATTTGGAGACTTTGAAGTTGCTCCTCTTGTGTTCTCCTAAATGCAGATCAGAAAAGCACTGCAGACATCAAAGATCTCTAAAGAGCGGAGGCTGATGAAACAACACAAGCAAGTGTGGTGGCAGGAGCACCACAGGCTCAATCAAGCCAGGTAAGAATCGGGAAATCTCAATGAGGACATGCACGCATCCTCCAGAGCTGCCGCAACAATCAGCGTTTAGAGTTGCGGTTTAAATGGTTTCCTCAGTTTAACCTGGAGTCCAGTGACACTATTAATATGCTTTTGCTTTCTTCAAAGTCTGCCACTTTCTCTTCTGCAGCCCCTGTCTCGCACTTGCATTCTCTTTAGCACACTGGATTATCATGTTCTGGTTCCATATTTGTCTTCTCTATAAAACAGAAAATTCCATGAAGGCAAACATCTCATCACATTCATCTGTATATCATAGGATACACAGAAGAAAAGTAAAGACTTTCAATACATGGATGAGCAAATGAACTAAGAAATGGTATGAAGGACTAACTCAAAGTTGAGATTTTTGACTTTATTTTTCCAGCAGCCACTTACAGATGAATTAAAACAATAATTCTATAATTGTTCTTAATTTTTGAAAAATAAATTTCTTTTCAAAGGTCAAGGCAAAAAGAGGGGGCAGAGGTGTTTCTCCTTCATTTGAAGTCTATTTACCAGTTTTAATGATGGTAGTATTTACAAAGGATGCTTTTTAAAAAAAATGTGTATTTTAAAAATTTATTTTATATTAGAATAGGTCTTTTATCTGGCCTTATTCTAAGTTTCCAAATGCCATTTACTTTTTTTAAAAAAAAAGATTTATTTATTATTTGAAAGGCAGAGTTACAGAGAGGCAGAGGCAGAGGCAGAGGCAGAGATGGACAGACAGACAGACAGACACACACACACACAGGTCTTCTATCCACTGTTTCACTCCCCAAAATGGCTGCAATGGGCAGAGCTGAGCCAATCTGAAGCCAGGAGCCAGGAGCCAGGAGCTTCTTCCAGGTCTCCCACATGGGTGCAGGGGCCCAAGTACTTGGGCCATCTTCCACTGCTTTTCCAGGCCATAGCGGAGAACTAGATTGGAAGTGGAGCAACCAGGACTGGAACCAGCACCCATAGGGTATGCTGACACTGCAGGTAGCGGCTTTACCTGCTATGTCACAGCGCTGGCTCCTAACTTTACATTTGTGTTAGGTACTTTTCGTGTTGGCAGGTATTTGTTATTCTGGAAAGTGATTGCTGCATGCGAAGTAAAAGGCTTATGATTGGAGACAGCTTTGCAGCATATCATGTAACTTAGAAAAAAATTATATTAAAGTCATCACTGTATTTCTGCCATGAAAACTAGATCCATCTTATCCTTTAAAAAGTAACTTTTGAAGGGGAGATGTTTGAGCCTATCGAGAGATTTTTAAAAAATATTTGCATAACTCAAAACATGATAAAAGAAAAGCCATAAGGAAGTGTTAATTGTGTTGTTCAATGATGCAAGCTCAAAGGTAGAAGGCGACACTGGGAACAATTTTTTTTTATCTTGCCTGTTCCACATTCCCTTGATGTGTGTGCTCAGTTGTTCTTGAGGTAGGTATAAGAGGCATGCACATTTCATTCTGGAAAGTACTTTTCCTGGCTGACCTCGAATGACACAAAAAACAATTGAAGTGAGGAACATTTAAGTAATAATAACCTTATTGTCTGGAGATTTATAAGGGCTGAAAAGTGGACAGAAAAAGATAATCCCAGGATAATTTTCTGTGTTATTCTAGAATGTAGGCTAATTTCAAAATCTGTTCAGTGAAATTAAAAACAAATAGCACTGGGAGATGGGTTAGAGAAGTGGCTACGTTTGTGGAGACTTCAGGACTACCAGCAGCGCAGAAGCAGTTTAAGCTCTATGAGTGTGGGTCAACATCGAAAAATGGATTCTCGGGTCTTACCACAAGAAACTCCACCAGGGAATTTCAGGCCAGTGGAATGTGGAACAGTGATGTTTAGCTTTTTAATTTTTATTTTTTATTAGGTAATTTAGTAGGTGACAAGTAATGCATCCCACTCTTTACAGCTCACCTAATACTTACAATGACACTACAAAGTTGGTCCCATTGCTAGCTCAATGTTACAGGTAAGACTCTTCCAGCTCAGAGGACTCAAGGCATTTGCAGATGGCAAATCATCTCTCTCTCTCTCTTTTTTTTTTTTAAGATTTATTTACTTGGCTGGCGCCGCGGCTCACTAGGCTAATCCTCCGCCTAGCAGCGCCGGCACACCAGGTTCTAGTCCCGGTCGGGGCGCCAGATTCTGTCCCGGTTGCCCCTCTTCCAGGCCAGCTCTCTGCTGTGGCCCGGGAGTGCAGTGGAGGATGGCCCAAGTGCTTGGACCCTGCACCCCATGGGAGACCAGGAGAAGCACTTGGCTCCTGGCTCCTGCCATCGGATCAGCGCGGTGCGCCGGCCGTAGCGCGCTGGCTGCGGCGGCCATTGGAGGGTGTACCAACGGAACACCTTTCTCTCTGACTCTCTCTCTCACTGTCCACTCTGCCTGTCAAAAATAAAATAAAATAAAAAAAGATTTATTTACTTATTTGAAAGACAGAGTTATAGGCAAAAAGAGAAGGAGAGGCAGAAAAAGAGGTCTTCCATCCACTGGTTCACTCCAATTGGCCGCAACGGCTGGAGTTGTGCCAATCCAAAGCCAGGAGCCTGGAGTTTCCTCCGGGTCTCCCACGTGGGTGCAGGGGCCCAAGTACTTGGGCCATCTTCTACTGCTTGCCCAGCCCATAGCAGAGAGCTGGATCAGAAGTGGAGCAGCTAGGACTCGACCTGGTGCCCATATGGGATGCCGGCACTGCAGGTGTCGGTTTTACCCACTGAGACACAGCACCAGCCCCCAGATCAATTTTGTGCAGCTGGGATTGCAGCCCTTAGACCTAACTCCGGCATTCCTTGATCTAGGAGTTCAACAGCTCCTCCCCAGCCCACCCCAACTCCTGGGTTCTACTTATTATTACAAATTTATAAAATGTGAACAATGTAGACAAAGGCTAGAAACATATCTGCAAAAAATTGAAAATTTTATTAAAATATTGCAATTGTTGCTATTATTTTATACTATTTTAATAATATAGTATATGTTAAACATAAAAAAATTATAAAATAATAATATGATAAAATATAAAAATAAAATTTTAATAATAATAAATCAAGACTCTTTTCTGTAGTTTAGTTGAATCTGCCATAAGCAAGCAAAAGACTATGTTTGGGTGCCCATTTAGAACTGGTTATGCTTTATTCTATCAATGATTGTATTTAGAAAACATAGTAAAAGATAATTAAAATTTGTTACTCTCATAATTGCATGAAGATAAAATACACTTCTGCTTCAATGTCCCTCTTTCAGAATTTCATCATTTCTAAACTTACTATTTTTTACCTTGGGAGGCAGAGAGAAAGAGGTGCAGATAGACAGAACAAGTTCTGATCCACTGGTTTACTTCACAAATGCCCGCAATGGCCAGGGCTGCACCAAGCCAAAGCCAGCAGGTGGAACCTCAAGGCCAGTCTCCCAGCTGGGTGGCAGGAATACAACTACTCGAGTAGTCACTGCTACCTCCCAGGGTCTTCCTTACAAGGAAGCTAGGGTCAGGGACCCGAGTAGGGAATTGAGCGCAGGAATTCTGAGGAGGGTATCTGAACAGCTAGGTTAAACACTTGCTCCCACTTCTGAACTCTTAAGATAACCGTGTCAGTCCAGGCTTGCCTAGTCCCCTCACTGTGTCCTCCCTTTAGTTTTCCCCTCCTTTCAGTCTAACTTGCTGCCTTGGGAGTCTTTCTGAAACAGAGCAAACAGGTGAGATCTGCTTGATCTTCAGTGGTCTCCGGATGCCCTGGCTCTCTCCACCTGAGGTAGTGTAGGACCTGCCAAGTACGGGCCTTTGCTGGTGCTGTTCCTTCTGCCTCAGCCTTATGCTCCCCTTCATCTAGTGTCCAGCAAGTTCTTAACCCATTTGGAGACTCAGTATATGACCTGAAGAAATGGACCAACACCCAAAACCCACATTAGGTTGAATGTTTTGGTTACCAGCTATTTTTAAACCTATGTGTGTTTATGATTTTTTTAAAAAAAAGGTGATTATGATCATGTCTATTTCAGAACCAAAATTGAATCTGAAATAAAATGCTTTCTCAATGAAGACAATGTTGGAAATGAATGTCTTTGTGACCTTAAAAATTTTGGTGAGTTTTTGATATTATGTTTAGATTACAGTTATGTTTTAAAGAATGATAGTGGGCCAACGACTTCATGTTCTTTTACTATTAACTGATGTTTATTTTTTCTGATGAAATGAAAAGTCTGAACTCTAATGTTTCCTTGATTCCATGTTGGTTCACTATAGAACAAGAGTTATCAGAACAATGGTGCACATTTCTTAAGAATGTGATCAACCCCATTCAGCAGTTGAGGGCAGATCTCAAGCACACGGAGCCTCATATCTTTCGGCCTTCGCATCCCCACACTGAAGTTAACTCAGCGAAAGTACTGCAAGAGGTCAGTGTGTTGCCTTTATTCTTGACAATATAGTATTTTATTTTGTCCCTTCTGGAATCATTTGAGATAAGAATCAATCATGTGTCTTGTGTATTTAAACAGAGGATGAGCAAAGTCTGTGTATGCCACAGAGCTGAAATAATGCCCAAATCTGCCCCAGAATGCGCATTTCTACCTGGGATAGAACAATGACCCTATAACTGGTCTCCCTGCCTTCATTCCTGCTCCTCCTCCCAGTGCATTCTGGGATTCCACTTCTAGGGGGGCGGAGATGCAGTTATCCTGTTGCTGAGATGTCCTTTGGGCTCCTGCTGGCCCCTAAGTTCTCCCATTCTTCAGGTTTCTTCTTGCCTCTCCGGTCACATCTCCTACCTGTCGCTGCCCCTTCCCCACAAGATCTGTCGCAAGGATTCTTTTTCTTTCCATGCCTCCTACAAGCCAGGCTCATTCCTGTCTCAGGGCCTTTGCACTGGCTGTCCCCTCTGTCCCATCCATGGCACTGTCTGCTATGCAGGTCTTGGCTTCAGTGTTCTGTCCCCTGAGAGGCCTGTCCTGAGAAGCTACTCCTTCTCCTAGCACTGTTTTTCATCCTTTACCACCTCCTGATACTTGCTCATGGATTTTTGTGTGTCACTTTGCTGACTGCCTTGCTCAGGGTAGCATGAGGCCCATAAGTGTAATTACATCAGGTGCAGGGTTTTGGATAACTTGTATTTCTCATTTTTTCCCAGTTATTCTGTAATATCGTTTCCATGAATAACAGTAAAAATTTTAAAATCCATGTTCCCCTGGGGATGAGGTAAGGATGCCAGCGAAGGAAAGGGAGATGGGATGGTTGTGGGTGGGAGGGTAGTTATGGGGGAAAAGACAGTATAATCCAAAAGCTGTGCTTTTGAAATTTATATTTATCAAATAAAAGTTGAAAAAAAAAAGAAACACAACTGATGATTATCTTCCCTAAGCACCATGCACATGTGGGTGCAGCTGGTTACGCCCACCAGAGCCCATGTGTGCATTGTGTGTCTCCAGGTCTCATTGAGGCTACTTTGTCCCACAAGAATTACTTTGCTGGAATTTTTTAAGCTCTTCCCAAAGGTCCCCAAATGGACTTTCATCATTTATTGGCTCTTGAGATTAATTCTGTGTCTTTCAATCTAAATATTGGATGAACTGCAATAATTTGCATACTTCTTGTCCAAATGTCCTACAGGTTGACTTTGTGAAGAAACAATTGAAAGCTGTCTTCGAAAGACTTAGCCTGGAGCGACAGGAAATAGAAACTGATCTTTCAGACTGGAATATGAAAGTGAGTGTGGTGCAGCTAGTGACTTAGTTATCAATTTGTCATTCATGTGGAATCAAATAATCATATCTTTGTTCTCTTTTCAGATACTGGATCATTCTTTGGAAGAGAAAACTAACCTGCTAAGTGAACTTCCCACTGAATTAGAAGCTTTGGACTGCCCATATCCCGAGTTGAAATCTGCGATCCTTAATGAGTTCTGTAACTTTACAGAGAAATATCGAAAGAAACTTCAAGATGCTGATCGGCAGTTGGAAGACATATTCAGGTGATAAAACTGCTTGAATTCTGTAGATTTACTTACATTAAATTTTTTTTATTCAGTGTTAGTTTACTTCTAATGTATGGTTTCTTAATTATGATTGGAATAAAGTCAATAAATGTTTAGATTGATGATTTGTTGAATGGAGAGGTTTTCCTGCTCCTCAAAATAATTCCCTTGGTGGAATGATTGAAATAATTATCAGGCTAAAACAAAATGGAAATATTCCTCTTACTGAAGCCTTTACAGCACAGGTAAGAGATATTTTTTAAATATGAGTTTTCAGTAATGATGAATATTCAGTTCAAGATATGAAAGCGCTCTACAGTAAAAATTTTAATATCAACACTAAGAATTGATTACAATGGAAAATGTACCCATGGAATTATGTTACTTGTGATCAATTGTGGTTTTGTTCTGTGGTGAACACATAGTATGTTTTCAAATGTAACAAAAAAGCTTCTTTGTGAGTGTTTCATACTTTTTTTTTTAATAGAAAATATACCTTCGGTTGTATCCTGAGAATGACAATCTTCTGAATGGCATATAAAATGTTGAGTGATTTAAAATTCAGTTTTGGCAGTGGCTGGCTTCTCTAATGTTTACTTTGTTAAAATTTACTTGAACAAATTAAAAGTGCCACCTTAAGTCAGATCTGTGGTCTACCTTATTCAGTGCTCTCTATGTAGTCTTTCTAGAAGATGTTTTGTAGGAGAGAATTTTTTTGTTGTTCAACTGAGTTCAATGTTTTCCTCAAAGAATGTATATTTAAGAAGAAAGAAGACTATTGATGGGACACATTTATAGTAAAAAGAAATTATAATCCTTGAATGAAAGACACTGGATATGACAAATGTTTATATTTCTTATGAATTGCTTGGCTATGCAGCTTCTCTGTCTGAAACTATTTGTGTTAGGACATAAAGAGTAAGGAAAGCCTTAAATCCTATGCAGTAGAGTTCTTGGTTTTGGTAGTTCTTTGGTTCAGACTCTTCAGCTAGAGCTCCTACTTGTCTACTTGCACCAGAGGCAAGTAGAATGAGTCCTAGGAAAAGCCTGAAGCTTTGCTGACCATAGATTCCTTCCTGTATCTCTGTGGGTTTGTTCCTGTGCTCCTACTTGTCAGACAACTGTTGGTCTCCCGACAGCTGCACTCTCTACCCCTCTCCTTTCCTTTTTTCCCTCTTATCTTGCAATAAAACTGAGAAATGAGTAATACATTATTTGCGTTTTCTGATTATACTTTCTTATAACTCAGTCACAGTCTAAGTATTAACCATACACTTAGCTTAGGTCTCTGATTGCAAAATGAACATTATCTTCCCACTCCCCATCCCAGCCTTGTTAAAATGATTTTGAAACTCATCAAGCAAGAGGAAAACAGTTTTTGTTTGGAGGTGGGGGCAGAGGGCATTGTAATCAGGTTGATTAAGTGTGGTTGTGAAGGTAAACCTGACTCTGTCCCTTCACAGCAGGTTGGCTGGCCATGATCTTTCCTCCCAGATGGCTCCGTGTCCCCCTGAGAAAGCTGCTAGAGATTGGGTTGTTTCCAGGTTAACAGCTTCTAAATATGGAGTTAGTAAGAAGCCATTTCTGACTGCAAAGACTAAGTAAGACTATCCTTCTTTCCTTCCTTTAATCTGAACTCTATTTTTGCTCTTCCTTCTTGAAATACCGTGCTACTCAGAAAATGTTGGGATTCAAAGCTACATTGAGATTACTGAGAGCTAAGTAGAGAAGTAGGTGAATACATTGTACATGCCAAGATTTCTGCAGAGGGAAGAAACATTGAGGATAGGATAGCTTATGAAGGCTTGATGAAGGGAATAGAATTCATGATGAACTTTGAAGAATGGGTAGAGTTAGAATAGGCAGAAAGTGGGTAAAGAGGGCCTTCTAATAAGGGTGATTAAGTGACTAGACTGTAAATCGCTTGAGGAGAAGTAATTTATTAGCTATATTTGTGTTCTTAGCACCTAACACATTCTGACACAGAGCATCTTCTAAAGAAGTGATTGTTCAGTTGAGTTGAATTGAAAATGAGAACAATGAAGAGAGACTGGGAGGCATGCTATGGAAGCAGAAGGAATGTACTTTGGAGGACTATTGGGTTCATAAATCCTAGTTTAATAGTCTTCTTACCATATCTAATTACTCTGAATACATCTTACATCAGTGATGATTGTTTTACTTGATGAATATGTATTGAATAATCCGTGAGTTACTGTGGTCTCTGCTAAACTCCTTCAACAGATAGCTGAGTCTAGAATATGGCTTCTTCTCAGAGTGTTTGGGATATATATACGTACTCTAACCAAATAAAAATCACTTGCAAGCATCCACTGAAGAAAACATTTTGTAAATATGCTGGCAGTTTATAATGAAGCATCAGCAAAAAAAAAAATCAATGAGGAATGAAGAGTAGAAGGAATATTTTAATATACTCAGAGAAGGTGGGCAACAGTCATTAGTGGCTAGTGGGTAGAAAGGGGCAGAGAGTATACTATTTTAACTAGCACAATGAATTATGATATTAATTATGAATCATATGATAATAATTATATCATAATTATTTAATTATGATATTAGTTGGGCTTTTAATTTCCCAGGATCCACCATTACACTGATAAGGCCATTTCATCTTGTGGTTCTAGTTAGGTCTCATGAGAATTCATATAGATTGTATACATGTAAGGGTACACTCTTCGGGGTGTGAATGTATTGATTAGTTGTACAGTTCTATGCTACAAAATAGTTGAATTATCTGGGAAGCATTTTAAACTAAGAAGCTTTCATTGGACTCAAGGCAGGGGACATCACGGTTCATCTCAGCATTTATTTTAATTTTCCCTATTTCATAGTGGCTCACTGGTTTAGCTTGGAAAGACTCCACCACCAGATACAAAGATGGCCCTCAATGAGCATGTGTGCCAGTCAGTGTAACCTCATGTTCTCATGCCACAGCAAGGCACTTGGGTCTCAGGGTAGGGGCAGGAGGCCCAAGTCAAGGCTCAGCTGAGGACTTTTGTTAGATGCTTCTGAGGAGTAGGGACATTCCTGCCACGTGGATGTGACTGTGAGGGCACATGGTTGAGGTATCTGTTGGCAGCCATGCTGGGAATGAAGGAAGATGCTTCACAAGAGAGGGCTGAGTGCAGAGAAATGGAGCTGGGGCCCTGTTGGAACTGCATGAGAAGACTACCTCACTCTAAGTTTTCAGGGCCTATTTATCAACATTATTCTCTCAATCCCCTGTGATTTGGGTTTTTGGTTATTTTCAAATAAATGTAATGCGATTGTTATCCGAAGTCCATAGTTGGCAATAGGGTCACAATCCTTCCACCCCTAGTTATTCATTTTCAAGCTTAGTTTATTTAATTAAATAATTATTTACTTATTCCTAGAGGATGCAATGGAACACGTCAAACCACAAAGCACATATCCTTTGTTCCAAAAGTTTTCATGCCTCCAGAATATATCTCATAAGTATATTTGATTATGTGTACCCCAATTTATTTATTGTAGTAGAAAGAAATAGAGCAAGAGATTTAATGTTAACAGGGGTAACTTTGTTAGAGTATTGTGCATACATAGAAAATATTAGTCTGCACATTAAGAAATGTGTTGAAACTTACATACACAGACATGGAACAATATCCAAGGGCTAGGATAAGGTATAGAGTTAAGCAATATGTGGTGCACATTGTATAAAAGAGGGAAAGGTAAACATGTACATATTTGCTTTTCTTTGAGACAGCACACAAATGCCAATATTACTTGTTGCCTCTAGGGAGAGGAGGCATAAGTTTGGGAGTGAGATAAAGAAATATTTTCATTGTAATCCCCTTTCATTGTACCATTTGCATCTTGAACCACATGAAAATATTTTATATTCTAAAACGAATTTAAGGAAAATAATTGTCAGGAGTCAAGATTAATCAACAGACAGGAAAATACCAGCAACTTATCAGGTACAAAAGATTCAATTCCCTAATGTATAAAGACACTTCTTAGACTGAATGATTAACACCCAAAAGGAAAAAGGAATGGAATAGTTAAGAGATGATTTATCATTCCTGTTTTCAACAAATATTTCTTGAGCATACACTTGCACAAATGAACACATGTATTCATGAAGTTAAAGATACACACATGGGGCACAGTGGGTTAAAGCCCTGGCCTGCACCACCACCATCCTATATGGGCACCAGTTCGACCTAGTTACTCCACTTCTGATCCAGCTGCCTGCTAATGTGCCTGGGAAAACAATGGAAGATGGTCCAAGTCCGTGGGCCCCTGCACCCATGTAGGTAACCCAGAAGAGGCTCCTGGCCTTGGATAGGCTCAGTTCTGGCTGTTGTGGCCATTTGGGAAGTAAACTGGTGGATAGAAGACCCCCCTCTCTCTCTACCTCTCTAAGTCTGTCTTTCAAATATATAATTAAAAAAACACACACACACACATACAAAACTATAAACATAATACAAAAGTAAATTGCGGCTGGTGCCGCGGCTCAACAGGCTAATCCTCTGCCTAGTGGCGCCGACACACCGGGTTCTAGTCCTGGTCGGGGCGCCAGATTCTGTCCCAGTTGCCCCTCTTCCAGGCCAGCTCTCTGCTGTGGCCCGGGAGTGCAGTGGAGGATGGCCCAAGTGCTTGGGCCCTGCACCCCATGGGAGACCAGGAGAAGCACCTGGCTCCGGCCATTGGATCAGCGTGGTGCGCCGGCTGCAGCGGCCATTGGAGGGTGAACCAATGGCAAAAGCAAGACCTTTCTCTCTGTCTCTCTCTCTCACTGTCCACTCTGCCTGTCAAAAAAAAAAAAAAAAAAAGTAAATTGCAGTAGTGTGTTAGAAGCAAACAGGTAGTATGTCAAACAGATTAGGGTGGGCAATACAGAAGGTGTCAGAGTTGTGGGAAATAGAGTGCAATTAATATTTTTATTAAAAACTTTTAAATACATGTATTAAAAATTACACATATTTATGAAGTGTCTTGTGATATTT